TCCTGCTGACTCTTGCCTATTATACTTAGTATTTCTTGTGCATTTTTGTTTCTTTGTTGTTTTGTTTTTTTGGGAGGTCTACTTATTTTCCTTGCAAATTTCTCTCTAGAAATTTTTTCAAACTAGCCTGAAATTTTTTCCTGTGCATGTATGAATTTACTCTTGACATACCGAGAGCATTACAAGTTCAGAGGCACTTGAAATTAAATTCTTAGATATTTTTGTGCTACACAGATAATAAAATTTCAAGCCACAACTTCTTATGAAGTTTAGCTTGTGGTTATGAGTATTTTTCTTCCTCTGATCAAAGTTCATGTTTCTGGTAGAGTTTGTGATAGGGTCGTATAGAGGGGACAAGGTCTAGATACTTATTTCTATTTTACCCTAATATACTGTAGACACTTGCATTTGAGCCTTATGTCCTATTGGGTTCTATACTTCGAATGGGCCTAGGGCTTTATCTTTAATCAGCCTTAGCTGTGAACACGGGTTTTCAGTTTCACCAGTTTCAAAATCCCTCAAGCCATTTGTTTTGCTTGTGTCTGAGTTTCTGGCTTCCCTCAATTCCTGGCCTTAATAATCCTTACTTTTTGGGAAGTTCTTTAATGAACATAAGAAGATAGCGTGTGTGAGAAAGCCAATCTATATAAATTTCATTTATAATATGTGTTGTATATAAGCATTTTATAAAGATATTTATCATTTTTATTTATTTTTTAGCATTCAGGTCATTCAGGGCACTAAATTTACTGTATTGCTGAAAATAGAATCCCTCTGTGATACAAAGGTGTTGTGATTATATTACACTCCCTTTTGTCTAATGGATTTTATCAAAGGACTGATATGTACTGCCCCACTATTCTTTATCTCTGCAATGCTCACTTAAAATCCCCCTTATTCCTACAACACTTCTTCCAACTTCTACTATTTGTCCTTTTTGTATGATAAAATACCTTGTTCTTATCTTGTTTTTCAAATTCATTATGAATGACTTTAAGAACTATAGTAGTCTCCATCTTTAAAGCATAAGATGTATTATATTCTGTGATTTTTTTTTTTTTTTTTTTACCTAGAACTGAATTAGACAGCATTTAGTTTATTTTGAACTTAAAAAAAATATATCACATACCAGGTGGAGTGGGGCTAGAATCATATAGAAACTTCTAAAGACTATTTGTCATACTCCCTAGGAGAATATAAAGTGACTATATAATCAACATTGAAACTTAAAGTAAAAACATTTTTTTAACCATATAGTTATCCTCATTGGCCAAATCTACCCTGAGGAAAGGAGATTATTTCAAGGTATTTAAATCTTCTTTAGGTATTAAAAAAACTGTAGACATTAACTTTTTATATTGGAGCACAAATTTAACTTTTTCGTCATTTTAGAGGGTTCTTATAAAAATGTACAGGTATAATGCTTTGATGGATAAGTGTAAAGAATAATTTACACTTTATCCTTATACTTGTACAAAAATGGAGAAAGAATCTGAGGTCTAGTACTCATTTTATCAGCTTTCAACTAGTCCTTGTGGTTTCATTG